TTTATATAGATAATAATATATATTTAATTTCTTTTTATAATTTAACCAATTAAATAAAAGACTTGGAAAGTTGTAAATATTTTTACTCAAATGATATTCAAAATAAAATATTTGATAATTTCAAGCTTTTACTCCGAAATTTTCAATTGAATTTTAAGCTATGTCAAGGTTGTATAATTTGTCAGATAACTAAAATGGATTTACAGATATTTTATATAATATATAAATATATATAAATATAAATAATATATATTTTATATTATATACATATAAGTGCGAAATGAATGAAATTCAAGCCGCCTCCTCGTTTGTCACATAGCCAAAGTAACCGCAATAAAAGTCAGCAGCAGACCAAAATGAGATCATAGCACGGGCGATGGTCTGACGATGGCTGCTGCTCTTTACCTTAGTGCCAACGTTTTTCTGGACAAGTGGCCATACGACATCTATGTCAAAATGTGTCTACAATCTGATAATTTTAACAATGATGTAAGCTGTCGCACTTTGTGCGAAAAAAGCCAAAAAAGAAAATCGAGCGAAAGAAAAGCGAAAAGATGGCAATGTTTTGGGCGCGTGGCCAATTTCCTTTGCCTCTGCCTGCAGAGACTTTGTATATATTGTACATATGTATGTGTGTATGTCTATATATATATAAATGACAAATAATCAAATGTGTATTATATGTCGAGTGTTAAACGCTTCTGAATTGACTTGAGGCAAGCAGCAGCTGTTATTGGCAACAGAGCGTGCGCCAGCAGGCGGCGTTTGCCAAAAACATAAATTTCAATTAAATAGTAATGGGATGTACCAAGAGGGATACACACACACGTGTCCATATATTTATTATATGCATGTATGTATGGATATAGATGTAGTTATACACGACTAACTACTCAGCTAATAGCTATAAATCACAATTACCTGTTTCTGACCTGCGTCACGCTAACAAATTTGACAGCTAAGAAAGGCTGCAGTCAGGTCTATCGACTCCGTCATACTCGTTTGTTGAAACAGTAGTGGAATGTATATCGATATACAGTAGAATCCGGCTATAACGACTCCGCTTATAGCGTTCGTACAGCTATTGCGACGAAAATTCTGTTCCTCCGACAAACTTTGATGAGCAATCTTATACGGTTAAAGCCTCTTCCGGCCGGATTCAACTGTATTTGATTTGATTCTACTGATCTGATGTGCTATAAGTCTGTAGCTTATAGATCTTGCATACTTTAAAGCTAAGAATTCAAACCCCATTTGCCACGCCCTCCACAGATGCATACAAGACACCTTAAAGATAACAAATGATGCAAATCCATAACAAATATATTTGTATGCCAGTGTTAAACGTATCATCAAAATGAATACACCCCCGATTCAAACATGGGCGAGCATAAACACGTAGAAATAGTACAGCAAATGCAGCAAAATCGCAAAAATGTTTGCCATGCAAATTAAAAACATATTGTCAGGCCGCTTGCTATGCTGGATAAAGTGCTAAAAATAGCCAAAAACAAAAAAAGGAGGAGGAAAATAAAAGAAAATGAAATGAAAAGTTCTGCGTGCACTTGCAATAGCATTTGCATCTGTGCTGTGGAAAAGAGGCGAAGCCACATGAGCACTTGAGGCCAGGGACAGGGCAAAGTGATCAGCATCAACACTCTATCCAATTGCCAGGAGTGAGTGTGAGTGTGTGTGTGTGTGTGTGTGTGTGTGTGTGTGTGCCTCATGCCGCAGATGAAATAGTTGTTGCTTCGGAAATGAGTTGTGTTAATAAATTTAGCTCATAGTCAACGTATGTATATATATACACTTTCTTAATGCGATGAACTCAATGAAAATGGGAAATTTCGGGGTATGATTAGTTTCTTAAATTATATGTAACAAGCAGAGGGGCGTGACTGCGACTGTGACTTGATACGCATTAACAGGTGAGTCGATTTGGCACTCTCCCTCTGCTAGCGCCAGAGACTTGATAAGCTAGCTTCAGTTCTTGATGCTACAGTTGCCTAAATTTGAATGAAATGTATTAAATAACATATAAAAGTTAAATCACAGAAAATAGTATCGATTTGCAAAATAAAGCCAATATTTTAAGCAGTCTGTATTGAATGATAGTGTTAAATTCCTTAATGGAGCATTCATTGTATTCATTTGCTGGAAATTCATTACGAACACACAAGGAAAACGTGAGGTCAATTGGCAAAAGCTTTTGGTCTTTAACGCAAAGCTCTGGATTTTGCTCCATGCATGTGCACACATACACATACACACTCCCCAATGCGTGCATTCGGGCTGGCATTCTATAAATAGACTCGCAAATGTGATTGATATGCGTTTGCCTGGTCAGCAGGTAGCGACCTTATAGGAGTGAAAGGGATAGAGGGTGCAGGAGTGGCGTCGTCAGTAGAGATGGAGTGCCAATTCATTGCCGATTAAAGAGAGTGGCGTAGGTGCGGGTTCGAATCTAGGCAATAATTCACTTAATTTAGTTCTTCTATAATTTTAGTTTAATACGTTCTTTTTAATACTTTGTAAATTTGTTTTTTTTTTATTTAAATATATATATTTGCAATTATATATTAACAAAGTTGTTTTCAAAGTTTTTTTCTTTTTATTTTTATTTATGTTTACTTTTAATTTTTTCCAACCTTTAAATTTTATTTTATTGTAAATTTTTTTTTTTAATATGCATATTATGCACGAGTTCAAATAATTTATTTTTTCTATAACTTTATTTCTTAAATATTTATTTTTTTATTTATCTTTTTTTTTTTTTTTTTTTGTAGATATTAATTTTATTAAAAAAACAAAAAACTTTTTTTTTTTTTTTAAGTAAAATTTTCTATAATATTTTTGCAGACATAAAAATAATTTTTTAACTTATTGTAGTATATTTTCTTTTATTTTACAATTAAATAATTTACTATTTTAAGTTTTTTTTTTTTTTTTTTTTTTTTTTTTTTTAGGGTTAAGGGTATCCCATAGTCACATTGTTCACAGCATCACTCCTACTTGTCTTTTATTATTTTCTGGCGCTGCCCGAAGAGACAAAATATTATGAAGCAATAAAAAACTAGTGCTAAAGCATTCGACAAAAAAGGAGGAATTGGAACCTAAAACAGACTTGCACCATGTGTGCCATTGCCATTGCCAGTGGCACTACCAGTACCAGTGGCTGTGGCTGTGGCTGTGGCTGTGCCGGTGCCATTACCCGTTGATCGCCGCTGAAGACGAAAAAAAGGTCCCCGTTCGGTCACGCGCTCAGTTGAAAATGTGAAAATGTAAATATAAATGCGCACACACAGCTTAGAGCAAGCCTCAACATAAACTGCATGTTTGCTGCCTCACTTTTGCCCTGTGTTTTTTGTTGTTGCTAGTAATGAATATTTACATTTATATTCTCTTCTCCTTTTTTTGTTTTAATACACGCACATCTGCATGAAATGCCAGCAAATTTAGCCTAGGCGCAAGCAGCGTCACAGCTTCACAGCTCCGCAGCTTCACAGCTCACGCATAATTTCTATAAGACTCATATATGTAAGTGTAGTTCGTATGCTGATCGCCGCGTCTCATCACGTCGCATCGCGTCGCGGCGGGCGCACATGACGCTCGGCAATAAATGGGTGGAGTCGGCAGCAGGAGTCAGAGTGCACGAGTGCGCGAGTATGGGTGTGCGCGACTAGCAGATACCCAGGAATTGCACTAAATCCGCATGAACATATGAATATATATAATGCCTAGCTATACACACATATACATATGCATATATACATAGACATGTACATACAGACACTCATATACTTATTTGTACTCATAACACACATACATATATATACATATATATTTATACACACATCATTTCAATTAATATTATATGTTTTATAGGCGTTTGAAGTGGAAGAATAAAACGAACCGAATATTAATGCTAGACACAGTAAATACATTTAGAAGTCGTACTCGTTTGATGCGATTCTTCCTCGTAATTTTGATACCTTCCATGCCTATTGTCCCATCTCAATGAGCTTTCTAATACCATGAACATGAACATACATATGTGCAAAGGCACAGCTGCTGCTACTACCTCCAAATGGTAAGTCGGTTCTTAAGGACTAGTGGAGGATATTCACATTATGAACTTGTCAGTAGCTAGATACATATATACTTGCCGATAATTTATCTAACCCATTCAGTAACCTGAGATAATAAATAATATCAAATATGGATGTTCCAAGAACAAAAACTCGAAATAAACTTGATGGCAGCTGGCACTGCTGTTCTTAGCTCTTATTGGATGGGGGGCCTATGATTGACGTACGAACGAATTGACGAATGGGTAGACTGAAAAGATAGACGACCCAACGAACAGAGCTAGAAGAGTTTGACTCTTTATGTTGATTAATAATAGATTAATATCGCATGATAGTAATATAGACACGCCCTTATCAACCTGTTACCAACACTTTACCAATTTCCATATACCCCTTTCTCCTCAGGGGGATTACAGGGTATGATTACTAAAAGTGTTGCAGCTGTAACAGACGCACATGTGCGCTGGTGCTTGCTTGTAAAGGAGAATAATCTCCAAAGAGTGGCAAACAGCACAACAACAACATCAACAACAAAAACAACAACGACTACGACAACAACAACATTAGCACCAACAACAACAACAACAAGAAGCGATGATCTTGACAGGGTGTCGCAGTCGCAGTCGCAGTCGCTGTCTCCATAGACGTCGCAGTTGACGTCGCCGTCGCCGTCACCGTCGCTGTCACCGTCACCGCCGTCGTCGTCGTCGTAGCCGCCTCACAGCTCAGGACGAATCTTTCTTTCGTTCCGGGCATTTAAATATCGTGCAGCCAGTGAACTGCGAGTTATTGTCAGATACAACGCGGTGGCGTGAACAGCACAAAAAAGAAAAGCCAGAAGAAGAAGAAGAACTAAATACTAGAAACAAAAATTATTGAAATAGAATCAAGAGTGATTTGCGCGAGTGTGTGTGTGTGTGCGTGCGTGTGCGTGTGCTTTGGGATTTCCCGCGTCGAATTACGTATTTTTTGGCAATCGGCCGAGCCGTTCGATTCGATTCCGAGTGCGAGCGAGTGCCGGAAGTGAGAGGCCCACTCGTCCAACTATAGATGTCGGCATGTCTGGCACAATGAAGTCACAGCAGCTGCCTCTGAGCATACCCGGCCAGTGCGAGGAGCTCTTCGGCCAGGCGAAGGGCAACCTGGGCAAAGTCTACGGCGAAAGTGTTTGCTACGATGCGTTCATGTCGCCGCCGCTGAGTGCGACGACCGGACACGGGGATCTGGCAGTGCAGAGTAATAACGGTAAAGCCAATGGCGGCTACTTCACCTGTGATGAGATGCAATTTCCGGACTTCTCGCACCTGTGCTTCGCCAGCGAGACGCCCACCTCGGCCTTCAGTGACTACAACAGCTACGCGGCCGCCGAGCAGGATCGGGACGACATCGTCTGCGCCGTGTCCGAGCCGTCGGGCATGCCCTATCAGCAGGGCCAATACACGCAGCTCAATCGGGAGGACGTCTTTCGCTTCGAGCCGGAGGATATAGCCCGACTGACCGCCGACAGCCGGCCAGGCGGCGGCTATGCTGAGGTGAATGGCCTGATGCAGGTGCCACAGGTGCCACAGGTGCCGCACACGCCCTACACGCCTTGCAGCGCGCCCAGCCAGCCCCCGACGGCCCATCAGGACATTGACTACTTCAACTATGACGAGGTGAACTGCCAGTCGAAGAATCAGTCGCCCTGCTCCTCGCCCCACCTGGATGCCTGGCTCAACTTCAATCTCGGCGAGCTAACAACAACAACAACGACGACAGCAACAACAACTCGGGAGGCATCGCCCAAGCTGTGCAACATTTACGACCAGCAAATGACGACGATCAAGCAGGAGGAGCAAACCCAGAAGCTGCCCTCGATGAACTCGACCTTCGGCACGCCCCAATGCGCGCCCATCTGCAATAACTATGGAGACTACTCCAATCTGCTGCAGGACGAAGTGATCTATGACTATGCCAAAGAGTTTCCCACCGAAAACCTAGAGCATCACATTGAGAAACCAAATCGTGAGCATAAAGTCATCTGGACGATCGAGGAGCTGGACGAGCTGGTGCTCAATGAACAGCAACAACAACAACAACAACAACAACAACAACAACAACAACAACAACAACAACAACAACAACAACAGCAACCACAATTAATCAAGTCTGAGCAACAGCATCCGCCCAGCGACTATGAAGATGAGGATGCAGATGATCCTGCAGATGCTGAGGTGGACAAAGATGAGGATGAGGATCTGGACGATGTGTTTGCCATGCCGCCCAAGAAATGCGATCCATTGGACGCCGATCGCGATGAGGCTGTGCCGTTGATCTGTCGCTGGACCGACTGCAACATGGAGTTCATGCAGCAGCACCTCTTCGTGGAGCACATCGAGAAGTGTCACGTGGATGTGCGCAAGGGCGAGGACTTCTCCTGCTTCTGGCTGGATTGCTCCAGGCGCTACAAGCCCTTCAATGCGCGCTACAAGCTGCTCATCCACATGCGGGTGCACAGCGGCGAGAAGCCCAACAAATGTCCGGTGAGTTGGGAACTCCTGTTGAGTAATATTTTGTGGTAAAAGTTGTCGAACCGAGAATAGTTCATTCTCTCTCCCTCTCCCTCACTTTATAGATAGAGAACATTTTTGGTAGCATAACAATCCCAATTAGAGAGTTAGATTTCCTATAACTTTAGTTATACAGATATTTCAATATACATCCCTTACTTCCTTTATAAAAGACTTGAAATGTCTCTAGAAATGTTTTTTATTTCTAAAACGAAAAAACAAATAATATTTTTGTTTTCATTAAAAGAGTTTCAATTGAATAAACAGAAAATCAAAATCCTTTGCCATCTGGGTCTCGTGCATATTTTTAGACCCTCGCTAGAGTTCATATTTATCTCGGCGACAGCATAAACATCATTAAGTAAACAGGATATTTGAGAGTGCTCCGCGCTGCTTGAGGCACTTGAAATGGAACCGAGATAATACTAATGGCATTTCGTGGGCCGTGTCAAGTTTTCGATTCCCTTTCAAATGGATATTTTCTGATGCCACGCCCGAGTGCCTGGATGACTTGATTTGTGCCCAGCACTTAGCTTATTTTTTTCTCTGTGTACACCTGCAAAAGCCCAAAGGTGTCGAAAAAAAATTGGTTCCCTTCTGCAGTAGGGCCCGCTAGACAACTGTTATACAACTGTTATATTTGGGTGCAGCGAACGAGTTGACAGTCGAATAACCCATTTTTACCACTTTTCATTACAGTTTCCGGGCTGCAATAAAGCCTTTTCACGTCTCGAAAATTTGAAAATTCATCAACGCTCGCACACAGGTGAGCGGCCTTATGGCTGTCAATATAAAGGTTGCCTTAAAGCGTTCAGCAACAGCTCGGATCGTGCGAAACATCAAAGAACACACTACGATACGGTGAGTAGTCATTTTCCCCTCTCTCTCTATCTTTCTCCCTCTCTCCACCTATTTATACGTTTTTTAAGATATACCCTCTACCCCAGTGGGCAATGCGGGTATATTGGTTTTGCTCTTATTTATGTAAAATAAGCTAGAGTATATATACATACACACAAGTCATCATCGAGTCAATTTGGCTATATTGGCCAGCTTATCTATCTGTATGAACTCATGGATCTCGAGAAATATCAGAGCTACAGACTTGAAACTTGTAATGTATATGCTTGACACCAAATGCAATGTAAATTTAATAGTTTTGCTTTATATCTGCTTGCATTTGCATAATATCGATAAATATCGATATATGCAATTGTTATGAAATATATTTCTTTTAAGTAGCTTCATTCATTCATAACAAAAATGATATACAAATATCCATTTGCTATAGTATACTCTTCTTTGGTAGACAAACACAATTTTATGTTATAATTGTACCCTGAAATTTTTAGTCAGATCGTATATGTGGAACTCAAGTTAAGAAAGAACATATTCTGAAGAGTGGGTTAATTATGTACCAAAAGAACAAGAACAAAAACAGCATTGGCTTTATCGACAGTCACCAAGTCATTTCAAAGCAAACTTGGGGGTAACTTCTAGTCGAGCACTTCCCACTATTACTGTCTTGCTCGCTTTGTATGTATGTGTGTGTGTATAAAGGTATATATACATGTCTCTGTGTGTGTATAAGTACGATATGCAAGCAATTTGCTATCCGTGTCAAAGGAAATTGAAATGCTCGCGGCATTTGGTCGCCTAGCAGCCGCATTACCGTTTCCATCTTCATCTCCATAGCCATCGCCATCGCCATCGCCAGCTCCAGTATCAGCTCCATCTCCATCTCCATCTCCAGCTTTGCTCAAGAGCAGCTTAAAGTTGAGGTCGTATTTGCTCTATCTGAGCCTACAGGCCCGCCAAATGGAAGAGACAAAAAAGCATATGTGAGCTGTACTATTTTGGGTAAAAATTGGGCTCGCGTCGCTTCGGCCTCCGTCGTGACATCTGCACATTTGGCTGATTGATTTATAGTTTTTACGTGTGGCCAGGAAGTGCGCCCAGTCCCAGGCCAATCACGACAATATAGAGCAAAGCAGCCCAGCATCCGGAGATCGACAGAGCAAAAAACCGCAGCAGCAGCAACGGCGGCAGCAGCAGCAGCAGCGCCAGCTGAGAAATTGAATAAACTAAACGAGTTATGCCTAGGCTTAAGCTGCTTTCACTCCACGCATACCAAATGCTGACTGTCAGCCAATCACTTGCGAGTGTGTGTGTGTGTGTGTGTGTGTGTGTGCTTTGTCTGTCCTATGTCTATCCTTATTGCTCAATTCGGCAGGCCTCGCGGTCAGCGTGGACAATGCCTGAATAAACAAGTTCAACATGCAACGATTTGCCATTTGAGAGTGCTTGAACTGGATGTGAACGACTAGAAGACGCCCTGTAACGCTTTGCTAAGCATTTATTGATATGAGAAGTTGAGTTTTTAATTGGATTCGAAATTTTATTTAATCTATAAAGAGTTATATAAATTGAAGGATTGGCGGAAACTCTATTTGACTTAGAGATAACGAGATATACGGATGGAAATATAGATGGAGAGATATATGATATATGTGGGAGTGAAGAAGAATATAGAAGGAGAACAAGAAGAAGAAGACCATTAAGAAGAAGTAGAAGATGAAGAAGAAGAAGAAAAATTAAGAAGGCCATTTAAAAGAACTAGAAGAATTAGAAGAAGAAGAAGAATGAGAAGACAAATAGCTCTAGATCAGGTTATTAAATGGACTTGATCTAGACCTATTTATCTTCTCATTCTTCTTGAGATTCATGGTTAGAGCGATGGACTCACAGAATACTATAATCAAAGAGAGAGAGAGAGAGAGAGAGAGAGAGAGAGAAAGAGAGAGAGAGAGAGAGAAAGAGAGAGAAGACAAGAACGTATAGACAAACAGGACTATAAAGATCGACTTGACTTGAATAATCCTCGAAATGCATATATAAGTATATTCTTTTGCCTAACTTCTGCACGTGACATACATCTCAAGAAAACCAATATACCCCACATATACATTCTCCATGTGCTCTGTGTGCTGTTGGGGCTATGCCCTGCCTATATTTGTCTGTAGCATACATTTGGGCTGGCGTCTATAGCAGCCACACAAATAGATCAAATAATAACAGATTCTCTTCCAATGCTTCTTCTTCTTCCGACAACAGAAACCGTATGCGTGTCAGCTGCCGGGATGCACGAAGCGGTACACGGACCCCTCGAGCCTGCGCAAGCACGTCAAGAACCACGGCCTGATGCGGCGCAAGTCGGCGAGCGGAGCTGCCGGCGGCTGCAGCGGCCGCAAGGCTACTAAGGCGCGACGCAGCTCGGAGTCGGCTGTGGCCGCGAGGGCGGCAGGCGAGCAGCGGACGCAGCGCAGCAGCAGCTGCAGCGAGGCGACGCAGCTGATGCAGTGCGAGGCACCGGAGAATCGACAGAGCTTTGCCGAGCAGCCCAATGATAACAGCAATGCCGTCAAATTCAATGAGCTCTCCAACTGCATCGTCATCGTGGAGCAGCAGCAGAGCGAAGCCACACCTGACAGGTACTCGGCTGTCAGCTACGACAACTTCAGCTGCTACATGACCAAAGCTGCGACTGAGACGGACGCCGTGAACATCTATGGAGCTCCAGAGCCGAATAACCAAAGCTACAATGAAAACCTGCAAAAGTTCAATGAACTCGAGCAGTTGTTACCTGGCGAGCTGCAAGGCGCAGGTGTTGCATTCGATGCGGGCGACAGCAAATGCCAGCTGAACGAATTCGTATCCTTCGAGTACGTGCGAAAGTATCTGACGGATGCCTTCGACCCACCCACTGCCAAGAGACCAAAGAGTCCGCTAGACAATAATCAGATTGAAAACGATTTCCAAAGCTACGATCTTCAGTTTATATAAGAGTAAGAGAGAGAAAGAGAGAGAGAGGGAGTTTGATGAACTCTAAGTGAGATTGCCAAATATTTATATTCTAAAGATCTCAGAATTAATGTATATAGTCAATTGTTTTTATAGGCCCAAGTCACGAAAGACAGTGGTTAGATGTAAGGTTAGTTCCATAAGTCCAAACATTCATTTAATACACCTAAGTGATTCGAAAATGTCTTCCCAACTTTAAATTTAGCTGTAAGTCTGGCAATATTCTATAGCTCATATATATATATATATATATATATATATATATATATATATATATATATATATATATATATTTGTGTGTATATACAGACATATATATACGTTTAGGCTAATCGTTAGTAGAGCTTTAGTCAATTGATAACTTAAATAAAAAATATCTTTAAAGATTTGGATTTTTTAAGAAATATGTTTTATTTTTACTTCAGTATTTTCTCTCCTTCCCGTTATTTCATTATCTAGTGTTGTCATATTCTTCATATTTAATGGTCTACCTTCTCCTTCCTCATATTTCTTTACATCTTCTATTTATAGCTCTTTTGCTTCATCTCTTTCCGTCTATATTTGTTTTACTCATTCTCATTCTTTTTCACCTTCCTCTTCAGTAATGAACATAATTCTCATATGAGGATTTTTCTATTGCATAGCATGTCCCAAAATAGTCATGATCTTACATTGTTTCATACGTTCAAAGCTTCCTCTCATAATATCACTCTATATTCGTTATACTACCACAATAATAACACTAATTTGGCTCAGGGACATTTTTGAGGAGGGCTAATAATACCCCCTCCGCCATGCATTTAAAAGCGGCGCGAGTTCGTTAGTTAATATGCAGGCAGAGACTGGGCTTCATTACCAACTATTGCTGTACTAGGAGGCACACACACTCACATACACACGCGGAGAGACACTTCCATTTACACAGAATAACAAGTAAAAGCGATGTAATGGGGATTGACCGATTGCATAATACACCTTCTGGGGCAAAGAGTGAAATGTGTAGCCTTGATATAGTTCACGGGTGAGTGTATAGAGTATATAGATGTACTAATTCCTGATGCAACATATCTATCTTGACACCCTAGCAGACAAGGCTAGACACAGGTATCTATATATAATCCATATATTAAGCATCTAATTCCATTTACATTTTGCAAAACTAATACACCCCTTTCCACATGGCGAACGAGCATGGTAAACAACAAAATGTAAAGCAATTAAAAGCAGTGCAACGGAAACATGCAGCGTCAAAACGAAAATATCCATAAAGCATGAGCAGGAGCCCAATTTGGAGCTTTCGCTTTGTCATATAACGGACTGCATGCTGTGGCTACAAGTGCCCGACGATTTTGTTGTTGTTTTCCGTTTCTGTGTGTATGTTTTTTTTTTTTTTGTTATATATTTTTGTTGAGTGGCAAAACTGCAAGCAATATGCGCCGGGGAGCTAAATATTTACGAACACACGCGGACACAGGCAGCCATTGCATACGCCCCGAGGTCATGAACTTTTATGAAAATTACACAATGCGGTGCTAAATGCACGTAACTGCTTAGCTAACATGCTTCAAATTGTATGCGTTAATCAGCAATCGTTATATGTACATATATACAAACGTAAATATAAACATATATATTCCATTCCCTCCAATCCAATTATTCTATGCTAAGCCTGCATTTTTACTAAGCTAATAATGAGAGGGAGAGAGAGAGAGAGCTAAAGCTACACTTTTGCTCGCTCACAGAATCGACCAATGGATTCCTTTAGCTAACTGCACAACTAAGATTACGACACATGTCCAGTCCGAGCATCAACAGTAGCTGCTCTCTCTCTCTCTCCCTTTTAGTCCTGCTCTCTGCAATTTGCATTTCAAACATACAAAAACAACACTAAGCGCTTTCATTGTCCACCCTGTGCGCTCTTCACTTAAATGCTCTTTGCAAATTTAGTGATCCCTGCAATTCATTTGGACACATACACATATAACAGCATTATAAAGAGCTTACTACGCGCTCTTCATTTCAGCGACTCATCTATTCGTATGAGAGCAGGCACATACACATGCACACACATACATACTATTACACTATAAAGAGCTTACCGCGCGCTCTTCAGCTTATCCCTTCCGCAGTATTTACATCGCACTGTGCGTCGCTTACGTTTTGTTCATATTTATGTGTGCTCTCTGGCCCTAGGCGCCAGCTCAGGCTGTTTGGCCATTGGTCGTCGGCTGGCAAAACTAACGTTTTTTTCTCTGCGTTTGTCGTTTCCGTTAGCAATTATGCAAATTGTGAGATTGCCACACGATGATACGTGGAAATTCCATGCATTTACAATTTTCTAATCAATGAAATTTTAATTTATGTCGCCGTTTCACAGTTTCTGCATATTTTGCAACTCTTTTGGCGCTTTGCTGATTTTATAGAGATATTTGCGATTCAATTAACAGATCTTAACACAAATTGAGTTTGTCCAAGTTAAAAAAAAAAAAATCAGCTACGGCAGCGCATTTTAATTTAATAATTGAATGTTTTTTGAAAGTCACATTGATTCATTTTAATATAATCAGGGCAGGCGCAAATGAAAGCAATGTTCGAATGATAAACACGCCTATGGATTGTAATTAAGTTTACGCTGACATCGTGCCTTTTTATACCCTGGACCACATTAAGGCAAATGGGGTATTACAAGTTCTTGTGTTCTTCTGTAACAGGTGAACGGAAGAACAGGCTTGGAAGAGCTAAGTTTCTCTGCTTATCTCTTTGATTGCGTGTATCTCAAGAACGATATGGGCTAGAGACTTGGAATTGAAAATATATATTTTTGTATATTATATGCTATTTGATATAATGATTTTTACCCACAATCGCTGCATACTTTCATAATATTCTATGATATCTCAGTATGTCTTTTGTTAGTAGAGATACATTATAAATATATTTGAATTCAGTTAACTTAAGCCTTTCGCCAAAGGATTATAAACTCATTTCCTTTTTACGTTGCGTCTATCTTTATATAAAGATGAATCTTAGAGCTTTTGTATAATGCATAGACTTCGGCTTAGTATCCAGGGCAACGGTCAGTCGTGCATACTGCTACTGCACCCAGTCTTTTTTGATTCATCCAGGTTTTTCTCTTCTTATTTTTATTTCATACAATTTGCGGCAATTTTTATTTCATACAATTTGCGGCAATTTTCAATATTGTCGTTTCGGTTCTGATTTGTCTAGCAGGTGGGATCACGTTTTCATTTTTAATTAAATAAATGATTTTCATTGATGACATTAAATATTGTCAGAAGGGAATTTAAAATATGTGTCTCGCCCATCAGACGAATGAGTTTCCGTTTTTGTAACTCCCATTTGCCATCAAGTTAAATTACATCTATAATACTTATCTGTATGTATTATAGTTGTGAAAATCATCTGTATATATGTAAATATATGTATATGTGGAGCGAAAACTTGTTACCAGAGCGTAATTAGAAGCTTTTCCGGCAGGTAGATGCTCTTCTTGACATTAAATTTATGACAACCGCACATGTTGTGCCGTTATACTTTCCCTACAACAAAAACAACAAGAACAGCAACAACAACTGCATTAACTACAGCAACAACGACAGTTGGAAAACTTTAGCGAGGACTTTGTCTTATGGGTAACAGCTGCATCATTAAAAGATTTTCCAAATTTTCGAGAGAGAGACAGAGGGAAAGAGAGAGCGATAGTGAAAGCAATAGCACGTATACGCCATGTAACACATATTAGGCTCTTTGCTGTACTACACATTTGCATAGAGTCATTGATTTGTGGTTAGTGATAAGTAATTTAGCCTTTTTATGGCTAGAGCTAGCCTTTTTTTAAGCTGTTACTCGGAGTACATGAGTAAAAGGTGTATGAAAATTGCCTAAATAACAACAATATAGAAACTGCGCATTTTAATGGCTTTTTCTGTATAAATGCATCTGTCTCAAGATCTACAACAGCTAGATACTTGAAATTTTAGGTATATGCACATGAATGTCACACAGAGCAATAGTTAAAATCTTTTTCTAATTACTCAACGCATATACACAATACAGATAAGTATCGATATTCAATTTAGCTTGTAAGGAATATAAACGAAATAAACCTCATTTTACTGAATACAATTTCGTAATATAATAGCTATAAGTATTTCCAATTATACAACAGCGAGAAGAGTATTCCCAGGAATATCCATCAATATCCCAAGTGCTTGCTTTGTTTATTTTTGCCAATTACTACGAGACGATAATTATTTTCAATTGATAATGAAATGCAATTAGAAACCGTTTGTGCCGATTGCATTCTCACAGACCGAACACCAAACCGCAAAAAAGGTAAGAAGAAGCAGATGAAGTGGGTGGAGGAGGAGGAGGAGGAGGGGGAGGAGGAGAAGGAGGCGAAAAGCAAAGCGAAATAAGGTAAAGTGTAACAAAAACATTAATTTACACAATTTCCTTTTGCCATTCGCATTTGCCGGCGAAGGATGTCGCCGCCGCGCACTGAGCCTGCATAATGAACCATAGAGTCTGTAATTAAAGTTTGTCGAAGCCTTTGCTAGCTGCTCACTGTTGACGATGCCAGCAGCAACAGCAGCAGCAGCGACAGCAGCAACAGCAACAGCAACAGCAACAGCAGCAACAGCAGCAGCAGCAGCAGCAACAGCAGCAACAGCAACAGCAGCAACAGCGGCAGAAAGCATTATCAGAAAATCAATTCCCGCATCAGGATGACGCAAAATAGAATTCAATTAACGCGCTTAAATTAAACTGCCACTTCCGGTTTTGATGACGTTTTAATCTGAGCCTCCATCATCCGACGTCCGACGGCCGTTGTCCGTAGTCTGTGCTCCTACGTCCGGCGTCCGACGTCCGTAGTTTTGTCCTGCAGACAGCAGAAAATTGTTCGCAGCGGTCCGTGTTCACGCCTTCTGACAATCCAATCTGACTGACTGCGCCTGACTACAACGGGGTCATATCGTCGCTTGCCTTGACACTTACTTAAAGCCCAGCTTGACCTGACAACACTATTGTTAATACCCTGTAGGCAATGAGAGCAGGCAAGTGGGTATATTGCTTATGTGCGCTTCTATTTGACAAGCTGGAGCTGGCCTATCTGAAGTCATTAACTATATTTTGTATTAGTATTATTGTATTATATAATTATATTGGCTTTAGTCTATATCTAAATGTAAATGAATG